CCCCAAAACCCCAAAACCCCAAAACCCCTAAATTATACTTTAAGATAGTATTATAAGAATTACATATCAGCTGTTGGTTCTTCGTCTTCATCTTCTTCAACGACCTTCTTCCTCTTTTTAAATGTCCCCTTAGCTGATGCCTTTCTCTTTTTAGGAATATCAATCTTACTTTGAACCTTCTCTTTGGGACTCACTTTTTTAGCTTCAGGTTTTGGAGCAGTGGGCTTCTTAAAGAATCCATCCAATCTGGTCTGATTTGGCTTATCCTTATGTCTCTTAATCTTTTTAATTCCTTCTTCAACTCTTTTATCCAAAAACTTTTTCTCATGGACCAAGAATTCAAATAAAGCTTTCTCGTTGACTGGCTGCCATTTAAACTTTATTTCTTCTGCTTTTCTAACATCATGGTTTTTGAATAGCTCCCTAGCCTCTTCATATAAGAAAGGATCAGGGATATGATGCTTCTTCCTTAGTTTGGAATCAGTTTTTATTGTTTCTAATATCTTTTCAATCGAGCCGTGATTTTTCATCATCTTAAATGCAGTAGATGGACCAATTCCTTTGATACTTTGGGTGTAATCTCATCCACAGAGGATGCATAAGTCAATAAATTCTTCCATAGTCATCTCAAATGCATCTAGCATTTCCTTTAGGTTGATTTGTATGATAGGTTCGCCTTTAGAGTTTACATTTCGGATAAGATTTTTAGATCCAAAAGTAAGAGCATCCATATCTTCAGTACAAGTAGCAAAAGCTTTGCCTGCTTTTACTAGTTCTGATCACTGTGCTTCTGCTTCACAAGGGGCTTCTACTATAGGGCATCCCATATATATCAGCATTGTCTTAGCATCTTCTATCATTTTCTTTGTAATTCTGACACTTCTTCCAGCCATCTTCTTTGCAAGTTCTGCATTTCCTTCTTCAAGGGCTTCTTTTTTCTGTTCTTCTGCAAACTCTTTACTTTGTTTACGTTTGTCAAGTTCAAGGGATTTCAAATCTGGAGGTTTTCCATCAAAAACCCATACAGGCCTGATACCATTCTCTAGAAGCATCAAAGTTCTGTTAAAGAGCCCGATTAAGTGTCCTGTAAGGTTGCCTTCATCGTCCTTCAGTTCATGGACTCCAGCATGCCTCGCACTAATAGTCGAGACCAGGTTCTGATATATAGAAAGTGAGGCGTCACAAGCAAGAGTGTAGCCGTTTAGTGACTTAAGCTGCTTGCTTTTAACTGAATCTGGTGCTTTATCATTGATAATCTTCATCAAGTTCTTTATCCCCATATTACTTTAAAATCTTCCCAAAAGTTACGAAGATAGAAGGAGATTTCCTAAACCTAGAAGCTAAAAGATAGAAAATGAATACTAAAATCATCTTAATTTCAATATTCAGACTAAAATAGGGGTTTTGGGGTTTTGGGGTTTTGGGGTTTTGGGGTTTTGGGG